GGAGGTTATGTGAAAATGATGATGCAAATACTTTTGGCTTCAGGTTTCCAACTTTCATGGGTCTCCACAAAATATACTAAGTCTTCCAAGGGACAAGAATCTCTCTCCTTGCTCTTTTCAGTGGAGCCTCTATCTCCCTGCTAATGTTGGTCTCCCCATTCTGACTTCTTAGGCTGTCAGCCTACTGCTTTCTGTTTTGGGAAAGTTGCAAGCTACTCACTAGCTTTTGTTTTAAAGCCCATGCATGCATGCGTGTTCAGTCAATTCAGTCGTGTCTGACTCTTTGTGACCCCATGGATGGTAGCCCACCAGGCTTCTCTATCCGTGGGATTCTCCAGGCAAGAAATCTGGAGTGGATTGCCATGCCCTCTTCAAGGGGATCTTCCCGACCCAGGAATCGAAATCACATCTCCTGCATTACTGATGGAATCTTTACCGCTGAGTCATCAGGGAAGTCCATTTTAAAGCCCTTTCTCTATCAAAGGCACAAATCACAAAATACTCTTAGAAGTCCTTGGGGTGGGGGGGAGGAATAATAATGTAAAAGTTTTTAGTCTTTTGTTGGTGGTCCCCACTTTTTTTTTTCCCCTGTGTGTAATCTCTTTGCTTGCTTAGCTCATTCATTTTGAGGACACTAGAGACCTTTCCTCCACCCTCCTCCTCGCCGGGACATTTTTCATGATGCAATTCTTCAATTCCCTGAAACTATACCCCTATATTCCAGCACTGATGCCGAGTGTAATCTTTGCATCTCAGTCTGAGTCTTACCCTGACTCCCAACTCTCCCAGACTGAACTGGGGCCTGGCAGCAAAGTCTCAGATGGCAGTGCACCTTCCAGCCCAGGAGTTGAGACGGCCACCCAGGGCAAGTTCTCTGTAAAAGTTTTTTGTTTTTAAATAATTGTGAAATAATGTAGCCACAATAACCCTTGCCTCCTGGGATTTATGCCCCTGGGCATTCCCCTCCCACACTGAACAGGGCTGGAGTATAGTGTGGAGATGATGCTGTGGGACTTTTGAGGAGAGTTAGACCAGCTCTCCTGGCTTCTGCCTTGCCCTCTCTGGATCACTCACTCTGGAGTAATGGGGACAATGGCGCAGCCCCCAGGAAAGACCCACGTGGCAAAGAACGAGGCTCCCTATTCCAGGTGGCCTTGCAAACAAATCCTGCAGACCCGTCAAGCATACCAGGTGACTACAACCTCACAAGAGAGAAAGAACTGCTCTTCAAAGCTGCTTCCAAATTCCTGATGCTCAGAAATGATGATGCAAAAATTTTGAGGTAAGTGTTCATGCAGCCATAAATGAGTGATATACATAGAGTTCTCCATCATCAGCTTTTTTTTTTTTTTCTGTTAAAAGCTGCTTGGCAACACCTATGGTTAGTTTTCTGTAATCATAGAAGAATTTTCTGACTTCTCCTTTAAGCAAAAAGTTTGAATACAGTCTTTTTCTCAAACCCCAAATCCACCTCTCAGGTTTGCAGCTACTGGACTGATGTGCATAGGATACTGAGATTACCAATCTAATAAGGTATACTAAGTTGCCCCTAGCAACAGCTTTATATGTTGACTTATTTTGAGCAGTTTAGAGTGGCCACACCCCTTGAAAAAATAGAGACAATAAGAGCCTCAGCTCCATAGTGGGAAGAACTTTCCTAGGGGTGTGTGTGTGTGTTAGTCACTCAGTCGTGTCTGACTCTTTACAACCTCAGGGACTGTAGGCTGCCAGGCTCCTCTGTCTGTAAAATTCCCCAGGCAAGAATACTGGAGTGGATTGCCATTCCATTCTCCAGGGGATCAAACCCGAGTCTCCTGCATGGCAGGCAGATTCTTTACCTTCCAAGTCATGTCAGGCATATCTGGATTTGAATCCATGATTGGCCACGTTATGGCACCAAATATTAAACAATGTGTCCAAGGACTCAAAGATGGCCTCAAACTGATTACATAACATGTCTGAGCTTCAGTTCCTCATCCATACAGTGGGGAGGATGGGGAGGCTATTCATCTTATTTAGGGCTGGAAGAAAATGAGATGATAGACTTTAAAAAATAAATTTCAAAAAAATTATAGCACCATACAGATAATAGGCATTTAATAAATGATAGCCACCATTAATATTAAACGAAGACCTTGAACAACAGATTAAAAGTTGGAAAACTAACTTATTAGAGGTCAAAGATCCAAAAATGTTACAGTAGCTTTGATGCTGAGGCTGTGTGAGTCTGACTCACATGTTAGGAAGGAAGAGCTCCCTCTCACCAGAGAAAGGGCTTGGAGGATGCCCAGTGTCTCAGCAGCAGAGATGAGGAGGGATGGCATTTGAGGTCTACAGAACAGCATGATCCAACCAGTCCATCCTAAAGGAAATCAGTCCTAAATATTCATTGGAGGGACTGATGCTGAAACTGAAGCTCCAATACTTTGGCTACCTGTTGTGAAGAGCCGACTCACTGGAAAAGACCCTAATGCTTTGAAAGATTGAAGACAGGAGGAGAAGGGGATGACAGAGGATGAGATGGTTGGATGGCATCCCCGACTCTATGGACATGAGTGTGAATAAGCTCCGGGAGTTGGTGATGGACAGTGAAGCCTGGCGTGCTGCAGTCCATGGGGTCGCAAGGAGTCGGACACGACTGAGAGACTGAACTGCACAGTATGAGCAGATATAAGGAGATGGGACAGGATCGCATGTTTGGGGATGAAGTAGAGACAGAGCATAATTCAGGTGGGACAGAGCATAATTCAGGTGGGCAAGACCATGGGCAACAGAGAAAGCAGTAGATGGTAGAGGTTAGAGAGGACTGAAAAGCCATTTGTGATACCTCTGGTTTAGATTTCTCAACCTCAGCACTGCTGACATTACCGGCTGGAAAAATCAAGATTGCGGTGGGTTGTCTTGTTCATTGTTTTGTAGCATCCCTGGCTTCTGTCCGCCACTAGCACTCCCTCCTCACCAGTGCCCCTATGTGTGCTCAGGTGCTAAGCCGAGACTGACTCTGGCTTTGTGACCCTATGGATGATAGCCCACCAGGCTTCTCTGTCCATGGGATTTCCCATGCAAGAATACTTGCATATGGTTTGTCATTTCCATCCCCTGGGGGACTTTCTGACCCAGAGGCAAGTCTCCTGTATTATCAAGTGGCTATTGAATATAGTTCTCTGTGCTACACGGTAGGACCTTGTTGTTCAGAAACTCTGAGATAACAAATGTTTTGCTAAGCCACAAAAAAGCAGACACTTTTCTTCCTCAATTCTGCCAGGAGACCATGGCCACCTTCCTCCTCTTTGGGCTTCCATGGTGAGAGAGTTTTCCATATGGGGTGAATGGCCAGGGATTAGGCCAAGTCTCATAATGTAGACGGCTGCTGGGTTGTCCCTGTGAAAGGCTCTGCTCACTGGGAGGGAAGCCCTCTCTTGCCCCCAGCAGATGCCCCCCAGGGGCATCCCCATCCACCATTCCTGACAGTCAAGAGTATTTCCAGACCTGGGTAGCAAACTCGCTCCTGATAGAGAACCACTGCCTCAGTCCAACATTTTCGCCTTTGCGGTGAATGTCACTGGAACCCAGAAAGGGTGTACGCCTGGGCCAAGGACACACAGCCCGAGGCTGCAGAACACAGTCAAGCTCCTTCCAGCACTTTATCTTCATCCCGACACTTGCAAAGCAGCCACACTAACTGGAAGAAATAAGAAAACATATCATTAAAAAGACTCGTGTCAGGAGTGAAACATAGCATTTGGCTGGATCTCTGATAGGGAGAGTCAGAGCTGCCCCCTTATTTGAAAAGCATTCACATGGGTATTAAATGTGTTAATACAAGAAAGTGTCCAACACAGTGTGGGGTGCCCGGAGAGTGACCAGAAATGATGCATTTTCTTCCTCTTCTGATAATAGTTTGGGATTAATTCAGTGGGCCATGGAGGAACTATAGGGTCCTTTTTATAGGCCAGTGACATTATCATAGTGGAAAAGGGACAAACTACCTGAAGCTCGTGTCTCCTGCTTTATCCTGAGAAGGTGCCCTGTCTCTGGGGGACATATGCCTCCAGGGACTGGCATGATGCCGGCTCCGTAAGTGTCCTCAATTACCATTTCCACCCACCAAGGAGGCTACTCTCCCTAGAGAAGATCAGGACATAATGAGCCCAATACCAGGAGTGATTAAAACAAACGACACTGCAGTCTCGCAGATAGCTGGGCAGAGGGGAGGTGGCTGAAGCGATTGGCTCCTCTTAAAGGCCGCCCAGTTTTGAATAATACAGCTGCTTCCCTGATTGCTGCCTGAACGCAAACCTTTGGCAGCTGGTCACCCTCCAGTGCCTCTAGGATGGGGTCACCAAGGGCTGGAACACACTTTCTGAATTGAAGCAGCGGACTGTGAAATAGGAATTACTGACAGCTCTTAAGTATATCAAGAGAACAGCCCTATTCCTTAATACAGAGCCACTAATAGACATCTAGAAACCTATAAAACAGACAATTCCTCTATATCATCCTAGTTAAATCAATGTAGTTATATTACCCTCATCATTTTCCCTTTAACGTTTATTACATTTTGCCTCAGTAATTTATTTTTTCATATCCATCAGCCGATTAAAGACTTTATTCTGAAGATACACACATCCTTGTGACCTAGTTGAAACTGACCTAAACTGTTAAGTAAAGCAATTTGCTGGGGGAAGTTATTCTCTCTCTTTACTTCTCTCTGTGTGTCTTGAGATTCCTCTAACACTTCCCATTTTGGGGGGTCTGGTGGTGGAGAGATTAATGTTACAGCATACACAATGTTTGTTTGGATTTTTCTGTAACATCTTATGGGAAAGCTAGAAAGAACTTTTTGGCCAACCCAATATATGCTTACATTTTCTGTTCTTTCCTTTCTCAGTACTGAGATCACTTTGAACCCCCGAGTGTCTCTTTGTCAGCACCTCTCTTAACCTGCCCTTTTGTTTTTTCTCTTCCTTCTTCTCCCACCTCTAAAGCTTCCTCTTGCTGAATGACGTGTGAGTTCCTGATCAGAGAGATGTTCAGGACTTCTGGGATCTATCAGCAGCTAAAGGAACCAGGGGCTCCTCATCTTGAATCTTTCTTGCACCTGCTCTAGTAAGATGCCTCAGCTCACCTCTATCCTGGGAGCATGCCCAGAACCCACCTGTGCAGACAGAAGAGGTGGTCATTTTAAAGGTATTATTTAAACCAGCTGTTCCCAACCTTTTTGGCACCAGGGACGGGTTTCATAAAAGAGCATGTTTCCATGTCCTGAATATTCATTGGAAGGACTGATGCTGTAGCTGAAGCTCCAATACCTTGGCCACCTGATGTGAAGAACTGACTCATTGGAAAAGACCCTGATGCTGGGAAATACTGAAGGCAGGAGAAGGGGATGACAGAGGATAATATGGTTGGATGGCATCACCGACTTGATGGGCATGAGTTTGAGCAAGCTCCAGGAGTTGATGATGGACAGGGAAGCCTGGTGCGCTGCAGTACACGGGGTCACAAAGAGTCGACATGACTGAGTTACTGAACCCAACTGAACTGACGTTTCCATGGACCAGGCAGAGGAGACGGTTTGGGGGTGATTCAAGCACATTGCATTCATTGTGTATTTTGTTTCTGTTATTATTACACCAGCTCCACCTCAGATCATTAGCCATTAGGTCCCAGAGGCCAGGGACCCATGAATTTTCAGGCCAACTTCCCCACAAAACCTCAAGGTGCTGGAAATGCCCCATTTTCACTTTTTTGAGGTGAAACTTCAACTCTCAGCTAAAGAGGACACAGGTGTTCACCTGGGAGATCAAACCATGAAGTTGCTGTCATTCATAACACCATAATGGACCACTAAGTTGTAAGAAGCAGCAGGACACATGGGTCACAGAATTGCTTTTGGATGGAATGAAACTGTGACGTCCACTTGTGAAGTTAGTCAAAGTAGAGGGCTTGGAGACCTGGGACATCAAGAATAATCCTGAGGACTCTGACCTGGATACAGGTTGAGAAAAAGAAAACTTATATTAAAACAGACAGCTTATTTCTCTATTAAGGCAGAATTTTCCTGAGCATTATGGCATGTTTCTTAGACTCCCTTTACCCACAGAATACTGTTTTGAATCGGACTGTCATGGGCATGACCAACTTGCAAAACAGAAAAAAACCTGGAGCCTCTCTGACTGAAGGTACAGGAACCCAAAAGGTCCTTGCAAAATTTTCAAGCTGAAGATAGGTCTTTGAACCCTTCAAGTTCTGGTTACTTTCCTCCATCTCTTATATGGAGAGGTTTCTGTTAAAATCTTAACCTCCTTTAGCAGAGCGAGAACTCATGTAAACATATTAGCATCGGGAGCTGTAACCTCAGGTACTGAACTTGGCTGGCTGAGAGTTTTTTCACACCCTGAACTCATTCAATGAGGCAACCTCTGATGTATCCTCCAAATTCATGCAGGCACCACTTCCAGAAATTTTGCACCCAACTTAGAGTCTTATGTAAACTGGTGCATTTCTGTTTTGCTCTTACGGCCCCTTTGTGTGTGATGTCACCACAGCCCCTGTGACACCCAACTGTGATCATCATGCTACATGTCTGTCTCCGCCCTGGGCCATGGGCTTCTGGAAATGAAGGGCAATAATTGTCTCATTTGATTTGGTGTTTCTGGCCCACATGCACTATTGCTTCATTTCAGTGAAGTTTTGCTGAGAAAATCAACAAATGAACAATGTTTGCCAACTGCTCTTCATTCTACCATTTCAGATGGACATGTCCTGATAGCCCCCTCCTAGACTTTATACACCATGTCCGCCATTTCTTTCTTTTGAATTAATTAATTGGATGTGGGCCAGTTTTTTAAAGTCTTTACTGATTTTGTTACTTTCTTACTTTGGTTTTATGTTTTGGTTTTTTGGTCTCGAGGCAGCAGGGATCTTAATTCCCTGCCCAGGGATCGAAACCACGTCCCCTGCTTTGGAATATGGAGTCTTACCTGCTGGACCACCAGGGAAATCCTTAAACAACCATTTTTTTTTAAATCACCATTCCTACTGCTAAACTACTCCGACCCTTCCTGCAGGATACCCCGTCTCCTTCAGTCCTAGAATAAACACTTTGCCTTGTTGTATTTGTCATCAATTTGCACTCTTTACTCTTTGCCTTTCTACCACGTATGAGAGAATTGCCTTGTCTTCCTTGTGAAACTGCCGTTTATATCTCTCGAACCTCAGGCAAGGCAACCAGAATGTACAATATAATAGAATAGAGCTATGAGTTAGAGTGGGGTGAAAACGAGAAAAAGGAAATATGCATACTGTTAATTCTCCCTCCTTAGATTTAGAGATGGGGGTGAATTCCTAATACACTGTTTTATATCTCTTTGTGTAATCATTGAATTTACTGAAGATGGAAGAGATTTTTCTTATCACATGTTACAAATGAACAGTTTTAGAAATGGACCTCCAAAGAAGATCAGGTGCGTGAGTGATAGTCACTCAGTCAGGTCCTACTTTTTGCAACTCCATGGACTGTAGCCTGCCAGGCTCCTCTCTCCATGGAATTCTCCAGGCAAGAGTACTGAAGTGAGTTGCCATGCCTTCTCCAAAAGAAGATCAAATGACTTGCCAAACCAGTTTGTGGCAGAGCCAAGCCCAGAATTCAGATCTTCTCATGCCCAAATAAAAACAACTTCCCATTAGTCTGCACAAAGACTTCCATTTTGCCTCCAGGAAAATCACAAGTCACTTCTCTAGTGACCCAGTGCACTGGACAACAGACCAGTAACACTTGTTACATCTGTGATCATCTGTAAATATGCACAAAAGCTTTGCTTGCTCACCTTCATATTCCCTTTAGCTTCTCTTCTGCCCAACTACCCACCACCTTTGAGCACAGTACACTTTCAGGGTTCTGCTGCCTTTATTAGAGTTAGAAGGGGATTTAGACAGCATCAGTCCAAGGATTTTCAAACTGCATGCTTCAGAGGCTGAAGTCCCAAAGGCAAAGCTTTAGAGGACACTTCTCAGGTGTGCAGCCGGGTGAGTCACCCACTTCAACCAGATCATCTCCACTTCCATTGATATTACATACTGTGGTTCCGAATAAGATATTCTTTAAAGCCTGTTCTAGTGCTTTAAAAATGGAATATAATGAGCCCTAGAAAGTCCCTTCATTTTCCCAATATTTTTCAGATAAGAAGTTTTGAGGTACAGCCAAGTTTAAAAAACTCTCATAAGTTTCGCAGCCCAATCCCACTATGGACATGATGAGAAGCAATCACAGAGAACATATTTTCTTCAAGAAAAAAAATCAGGACATGGGCTTTGACAAGACCAAATACACTTATGGGGACAACAGGGCAGAATATTTGAAATTGAGACTGTCCCAGAAAACCCGTAATATATGGTCACTCCAGGAATAAGGCAAGAACATTTTCTGGCTCCCAGACTAGCTTGAGTGACTGGTGAATGAACTATGCTGTAAAGTCACAGAGGGTGACCGCTACTTCTTCCCTGTTTTCTGCATTCTTTGATATATGATATCACCTGCTGAATTCTATTGATTTTAGTAATGCTTTCTGTATTAAGATTTATGCCCTAATGGCTCCTTTGGACTTCTTGGGCTGGCTGGGCTCTCAACTTTGGGATACACTGGGAGCTGGAGGCCAGGAGGAAATGATTCAGTGACTAACCCACCTTCTGATAAATCTAGTTAAAAAAAAAAAAAAGTCCCGTGGTATAGCAGTAACTAGAGTTTTAGTGCCAATAGTTGTGGGCAGCTATTGATAATATACGTGTCCCTTAAATTTTGTAAGAGCTTCTAGATGTCACAGCAAAAGCAACCCAAGGAATGCATTCTGTAAAATAAATGAATAAATACAATACAGAGAATGTATGGTATTGGTACCATATTCTATCAACCTGGATGGCTCCACTCAATACAGCACTACTGTGCATTAAAGATAAATACTTATGTAATAATCCATCGCATCCTTAAAGCCCATCTCATCAGATGTGATGGCTGTCAAACGGCAATGAGTTTGTGCAATAAAATCTTCTTGCGAGTCTGATGCACAGGCCAGCTGAGGCCGCCATGAGCATCTGCTTTGTTCTGTAGACTCTAAAGTGGTGGATCTTTCTTGTTAGATGAGAGTTGCCTTTTTCCTTTCTCGTACTATTTTCTGTTTTGTTCTTTTAACTTTGTTTTTCCCAGAAGAAAAAAAATTGTTTAAGGGACTGTTCAATCAAAGCTCAAGTAAATGTCATTACTTCAGAAGCCTGGTTTTTGTTTTTGTTTTTTTTTTCTGGCTGGTAGGAGCCAGTCCAATTCTTCTCAGCCTACCATTTTGCCAAGACCTGCTTCTCCCAACTTAAGGATGCAGATAGAATCACTAACAAAATTAAGGCTATTTAAAGAAAGGATCCGAAATGCCATCATTAAAAATCCTTTTCCTTGGGGAAGTTAAGCCCTCAGGATATGGCTTGGACGGTGGAATCAGAAAACCAGGGCTGGCTTCATGTTTCTGGAACTTTGTCTGATTTAATGCTCTGTTGTTGCCATCTTGAAATTCTAAATAATTTATGAACCAGAGACCTTGCGTTTTTATTTACCTGCAAATTAAATATCCAGCCCTGCAGAAAATGTCTTGGAATTCTACAAGACATTTCTGGCTACCCTAGTAATTAACACTGGAATCACTCACATTTTAGCTGTTAAATTTAAGTTGTGTTTACTCCTTTCGAAGCTGCAGGGTTTTTTTTTTTTTTTTTTTTTTAAACAGCTTGTATTTTTAAAATTAGTTAATTTATCTTAAAATTTTTTTTTTGTTTTTTGGCCAGGGCCATGCAACATGAAGGATCAGAGCTCCCCAACCAGGGCTAGAAACCTTGCCCTTCACATTGAAAGCATGACATCCTAACCACTGGACAGCCAGGGAGATCCCTGATGTATTTCTCCTTCTTTTCTAGTTCTGACCTAGAAAAGCCCAAACATCATCCTGACAAAGCATGATACTTTTTTGAAGACTGGGAAATTTAAAAATTGAAAGGAAGGTGTTTCAGAAGACAGTGGATGGGAAAGTCAATAATATGGTAAAAGTGTTGTCACATATAATTACAATAAAGCTATTGGAAAGAGATATGAAGGTATGTTGATCTGGGAAGATGGATTATAAACAGGATACTATATTTCTAATATAAAGTCTAGATTGTGCCTTCTACTAATAGGTTTATTTTTTTTCAAATGAGATAGTGTAAAGCATTGCAGACTTCAAGTAATAATCTTAATAATCTTTGTTACTAGGAAAACAGACTGCTTGGTTTTTTAATGTTAAATTCCCACAAGATTACTGGGCTTGGGGTTAATGATTTCAAATAGTTTATAAAATAAGGGGTTACATATAAGAACTTGTAACCTTGATATAATTATTAAGGTGATTCTCTTTTCTATAATAAGGATTTTATCTCTCTCTCTTCCTTCTCTTATAAAGCTATTGTTTCTCTCTTTTCTTTCCCTGTTCTTTGCTTTACCATACTTAAGATTTAGGTTTTAGGTAACTTTTTAAGAGTCATTTTAGTGAAACACAATGTCACTTTAAATGAAAAATAAAGTTTGATATTTTAAGTACACATCAAAAAGGTGATTGGCCACAATAACTATAGCAAGAAATTTAAAAATTGGGATGCACTAGTTGTATGTGTATCACTTAGCACCTCTATATAAAATATAGGGCTTCCCAGGTGGCACTAGTGGTAAAGAATCTGCCTGCCAATGCAGGAGACATAAGAGATGCAGGTTTCACCCCTGGGTTGGGAAGATCCTCTGGAGTAGGAAGGGACAACCCACTACAGTATTCTTGCCTGAAAAATTCCATGAACAGAGCATTCTGGTGGGCTGCAATCCATGGGGTCCCAAGAGTCAGACATGACTGAGCAACTGAGCGCATGTTATATTGGTTAGGGTTAGGGTCACCTACTGTGTGGAGGATACTAAAATTATATTTACAAATCTCATCCTACTTATTCACAAGAATTCTATAAAGTGGGTATTTTAGGGCTACACAGTTGTTTGCCAGCAGAGATAACAGGCAAACCAAACCCAAGATAGGCTGGCTCCAAAGCCCATCATACATTCTTTCAATTTGCACTTGTCACTCAAAACCGGTTACCTCTGTGACTAATACATGCAGGCCTTTGTAATGGGCTCTGAGACGCTTGATGGCAAGAAGTCAGATGTGGGCCTTGACTGCCAGGAATGGAAAATCAAGTGCATAAGATGAGGCGTGAGCAAAACAATGGCAGTATGAAAAGATCATGATCAGTGTAATGTGAATGATGCAGACAGCAAATGCCACACAGTGGCATTCTTTCATGGAGACATCTACTTATGCCAGTTGGAATGTCTTTCTCAGAATTTCGCAGGACAGAATTGCATTCAGTCCTGGACTTAAGAGATGTAGGTTGCCAATATAATGCAACATTTCACATACCTGTGTCATATCGTATCAAAAATAATTAGTCCAAAGCTTTTATGGCATGGCTTATATCTTCCTATATTATAAAAGAAAACACATTTCATCAAATGTTCTTCTTCAATCAAGTATGCTGCTGCTGCTGCTAAGTTGCTTCAGTCGTGTCCGACTCTGTGCGACCCCACAGAGGGCAGCCCACCAGGCTCCACCATCCCTGGGATTCTCCAGGCAGGAGCACTGGAGTGGGTTGCCATTTCCTTCTCCAGTGCATGAAAGTGAAAAGCGAAAGTGAAGTTGCTCAGTCGTGTCCGACTCTTGGCGACCCCATGGACTGCAGCCTACCAGCCTCCTCCATCCATGGAATTTTCCAGGCAAGAGTACTGGAGTGGGTTGCCATTGCCTTCTCCTCAGTCACGTATAATGCTTTGCAATTCTTGGCTCTAATATAAGTCTGGCTTATTTTACACTTTACACCGTGGGAATACCTGGAAGGAGTTGGAAAAGCAACAGAGATTATTTGCTAGTTTGCAATACTCTGTAGCCTGGAGCAACTCCATTGTGTTCAGTTAATGTCTGTGCTTGCGCTGAGCTGGAACGGGACTTAAACTCCACATGCCGTGTCCTTTCGCTGCTGTCTTCATTAATTACATCTGGGAAGGAGGACTAGCTAAGCTTTTGGAAGACTTTAAATTTCATTTGAATCTTAAAGGGATGATGAATGAGGGCTTAGGTAGACAAGGAGGAAAGTAAGTGAAGGCATTGAGAGAAAGACAGCTTCAGAAAAGGACCACGTGGGAGGTTCCACGACTTTCACAAAAGAGTTAATCATGGATTTATAGTGTGGATGACTGTAGCAATGAGACAAAAATTAGAAAGTTAGATTAATAATATTTTTTTGGAAGAGCCAAGATGGCGGAGGAATAGGACGGGGAGACCACTTTCTCCCCTACAAATTCATCAAAAGAACATTTGAACGCTGAGCAAATTTCACAAAACAACTTCTGATCGCTAGCAGAGGACATCAGGCGCCCAGAAAAGCAGCCCATTGTCTTCGAAGGGAGGTAGGACAAAATATAAAAGATAAAAAGGGAGACAAAAGAGTGCTACGGACGGAGACCCGTCCCTGAAAGGGAGTCTTAATAGAGGAAGTTTCCAATCACGGAAGTGTGATTGGAAAGTTTCCCTCGCACTGGCGGGACTGGGGGAAGTTTCGGCAATCTAACTGGGAGGAAAAATTAAATAAGGCCCACAGATTACGTGCCTAAAAGCAACTCCCAGCAGAAAAGTACCCCAGATGCCCGCACCCGCCAGCAACAAG